CTAAATACCCTGACAAACATTACACATTCTATGCATCTAACAAAATATCACATGTGCCCCGTAAATATGTAAAAATATTATCTGTCACTAGAAAAAAAAAAAAAGAGTAATACTTCTTAGAAAGGAATTCTCTGTCTCCCATACAGGCAGAATCTCAGAGCCTCCTCATTTTGCCCATACTGGCAGTGCAGTACCAATAATCACATTACAGCAAAATGATTAACCTTTGAGGTCAGGGTTAAGACCCTTGTCATACTCATTATATCCCTAGCACAAAGCATTCTCTGGAATAGAACAACTACTCCACAAACATGTATCTGAACAGACTGAAGATGGATAATCTACAACTGGGAAAAGTCATTCCCTAATGCTCATACCAAGCAGAATGAGAGAGGACAGACACCTAATCAGATAGACCAACCAAATCAATGAGGTAATAAGTGCAGTTAGTGATCAAAAAACAAGAAATAACCTAAAATTTACACTTAAACAATTATTACAAAAGAACATTTAGAAAGTTATCAATGTAAGTGAGCCTTCATCAGAAATGCTTACTACTTAAATCAGAAGATGACCCTGAGTCAGCCAAGATAGTGTTTTTTAAAAAACTTCTCTTTCTCACACCCCATCATACTGGTTCTATCTTCAACATTTATCCAGAAGCTTGACCACTCCTCATCATCTGGAGTTTGGACCCTTGTCCCCCCACAGAATATTCTCAAAGCAGCAGCCAAAGTGGGCACATGATTCTTCTACTTAAAATCTTGTACTTAATGACCATTTCACTCAGAGTAAAAGCCAAAGGCCTTACAGTGGCCTACAAGGTCCTATATAACATCCCCAACACCCTTCCCTTTTTATCTCCTATGCCCTCCTTGTTGCTCACTCCACTTTAGCTACACTAGTCCCCTCACTGTTCCTGGGCACACCCTGCCTTCAGGACTTGGCTCTGATGCGCCCTCAGCCTGGAATACTCTTTATCCAGGTGTCCATTTGGAAAAGGCCCTTAATCCCTTCAAGTTTCTCTTTAAATCTCATGTGGTCCATGAGGCCTACCCTACTTACTACTGTAACCTGCCCACCTGTGACCAATCCCCCTTCCCAGCTCTACTTTTTTCTCCATAGAATTCATCACCTTTTAATATAACTTTCTCACATATACCATTCATCGTTTTGCTTCTCCACTAGAACACAGGCCCAAGAGGGCACAATCTTTGTTGTATTCTAGATGTTAACAAGCTTCTAGGAGAGTTCTTATCACATAATATTTTGCTGAATGTTGAAAAAAGGAACAGTTAAAACTAGACAGAATTCTTATAAATCTAGATTTTCTGCTATACTTATAAAAACTCCGAACTGGAAAAACTGGGCACACAGTCCTACAACTACAGCTGATTAGAAAAAGTGTCTTGTTTAGACAAGACAGACCCATTTCAATTTGCAGCAGTCTCTACCATTCATTAGGTAAAGATTAGAGACAACTTCTTAAAACAGTAATTTTCTTATTGAGAAGACAATAGGTAGATTAA